AAGGTTGGGCAATTTACATCCATAGTGATACTGCCTTGGAAACCCAAGGAGGGGTCGCTATGAGTCGGGTCCGACTCGATGGCATGTAACAACAACTTCTTTGTTATAGTATGGTTGTTGAAGTTGCTTAATAAATTATCAAAAAAAATCCCTCTGGGAAAATGAGGTGTTAGTGTATGTTCAAAGAGCAGCAGACTTCCATTCTAATTATGGTTAGCTTTCTTTGTTCCAAGAAGATTGCCACTGAAGCACAGGAAACTGCTGTTTTCTCACTTGACTTTGTTTATAGGGTTACCGGTACTGGGCCGGGATCGGAGTCCTCCAGAGTTGTGAATCTGCATTGACTCATTACCGCCTTGTGGCCAATCATGGTATGTATTGTTTTTCCCTTTCACCTTTATAACAAAAAAGTACAGAATTAATTTAAACCACACCTATTTGTATTGTACAATTTGAAGTATCTTAAATGGCTTTTTTAAGCAGAATCATGATGAAGATTAAAGAGTGCTTTTTTAATTAACTTTTCATTTGCTTTGGGTTCGACTTCTGAAATACTTTTGGAGAAAGTCTGATTTATTAATCGATTGCTATTTTCTGGTCTTTAGGCTGTTATAGAAACTATTTCCTGTGCCATGTTCTTTGTCAGTACTTTGCATCTGGGATTGTACCTCTCTGTGGGACAGTCTTTCTGACTTACCTCCATGTTGTTACTTTGTCCCACATCAGTTGCTAGTGACATCTCACTGACAGGAGGCTCAGTAGTACAGAGAATACGGCTGCCTGACGAGGTGGAGAATCCAGGAATGAACAGCGGAATGTTAGAAGAAGACTTGATTCAGTATTACCAGTTCCTAGCTGAAAAAGGTGATGTGCAAGCACAGGTATGTGTTCTTTTGGTTGTTTTTTATTGTGATTTGGGTGCAAATTTACAAAGTAGATTCGTTTTACTCTCAACAGTTCATGCTTATTTGATGTCTGGCCCTGATTATAATCCTTAACCATACAAAACTCTTCTCCCCTCTCCTCCCTGTGAGACCACCCCTTCCCTGTGCCCTTCTTATCTCTGCATTCCTGTCTTTCCAGCTTCCCCTCTGTGTAAGTTCTGCCCCTCCTATGTCTCGTGGCTGACTGATTCAAGGGGTGCATCTCCTGGGATAGGTGCTTTCTGCTATGGAGCTTTCTGCTGCTGGGCTGAGAGCCAGTCCATGCAAGTGAGTCCATTTCCAGGCCCAAAGGATAACCCAGGGCCATAGTTTCAGGTGTTTCATCAGTCTCTGTCCAACCAGTAATTCTGGTCATTTTTGTGTTTTTGAATTTTGTTCCACATTTTTCTTCCCACTGTGTCCAGGATCTCAGATTTTGATCCCTTCCCTGGTGGTTGCCATTGGCAGCCAGGTACCATCTAATTCTTCTGGTCTCAGGGTCATGAAGACTGAAGTCCTCTTGATCCATCAGATCTTTGGATTAATTGTTTCCAAATGATTTCGATTTTCTTCACTCTTCTTTGCTTCAGATAAGAGGAGACCAATAGTTGTATCTTAGATGGCTAGTCAAAAGCTGTTAAGACCCCAGTCACTACTCACCAAAGTAGGATGTAGAACAAGATTTTTATGTACTATGTTGTACCAGTTGAGCATGATTCCCCCAAGACTGTGGTCCCGAGCCCACATGCCTGGTGATTCTCTCCTTCAAGGTGTTTGGTTGTCTTTGAGAAGCTACTCCAACCGTGTCCTCTGTTACTTTTGTAATGTATGTAGTTAATTTTGTAGCACAAGTACATATTTAAGACTGTCTTCAGCCAAATCTGTCCTTGGTCATTCCTGTTCACCCACCCCTCCTGATCTTCTCACCTGTCTGTGCATTTACCCATAGCCTAGTGTTTGCTGCCACTGGCAGCGCAGTATTGTGCGTGTAACTGTATTTGCCTCTGTTGTCTGAATCTTTTGTACTTGTTTCTGTGTCCTCCCTTGCCCCATTGTTACTGTGCTTGCCACAAACCCTTGCCATACACTCTCCCCTCAACCAAATCAACATGTGACCCCCAACTAGTCCAAAATTTTCCCTCCCATCCGCAGTAACCAACAAAGTGAATTTCTTCCCTTGCGTAAACCTTTCCTTGACTTTTTACAATAATGGGCTTGTATAATATTTGTCCTTCTGTGATTGACTTATTTCACTTAGCATAATGTCCTCCAAATTTATCCACATTGTGAGATGATTTGTGTATTCTTCATTATTCTTTAATGTTGCATAGTACTATAGTTTGGTTATCCATTCATCTGTTGATGGGCATTTAGGTTGTTTCTATCTCTCCTATAGTGAATTGTGCTGCAGTGGGCATGAGTGTGCATGTCTATTTGTGTCCTGCCTCTCACCTCTTTAGGATATATTCCTAGTAATGGAATTGCTGGATCAAATGGTATTTCTGTTTTCAAGTTGTTAAGGAATCACCATACCACTTTGCACAGCGGCTGTTCCGTTTTGTAGTCCCACTAACAATGTATGAGAGTGCCAGTCTCTCTGTACCCTCACCAGCACTTGTTATTTTCTTTCTTACTGCACTTTGCTATTAATGCTGGAGTAAGATGATACCTCATTGTTGTTTTGATTTGCATCTCTCCAATAGCTAATAATTGTGAGCATTTCCTCATGTGTATATCTTCTTTAGTGAAGTGTCTGTTCATGTCCTTCGCCTGTTTTTAATTGGATTGTTTGTCTTTTTGGTGTTGAGGTGTTGAAGTTTTCTATAAATTTTGGAGATAAGCCCCTTGTCAGATATGTGATAGCCAAATATTTTTTCCCAATCTGTAGGTTCTCCTTTTACCCTTTTGGAGAAGTTTTTAGATACACATAAGAATTTAATTTTTAAAAGGTCCCAGTCATCTAGTTTCTCTTCCACTGTTTGTGCATTTTGTATTATGCTTGATAGTGTATTTATGCCATAAATTAGAGCCCTTTGTTTTGCCCCTATTTTATCTTTGATGAATTTTATAGTTTTGGGTTTTACATTTAAGTCTTTGATCAACTTGAGCTCATTTCTGTGTATGAGGTGAGGTATGGGTCTTGTTTCATTTTTTGCAGATGGATATCCAATTTTGCCAGTACCATTTGTTAAAGAAGCTATCTCCCCTCCATTTTATGGATTTTGGCCCTTTGTCAAAGATCAGCTGTCTATAGATGGATGGGTCTGTTTCTGGGTTTTCAATTCTTTTCCATTGGTCTATTTGTCGGTCACTGTACCAGTACCACGCTGTTTTGACTACTGTGGCTGTATAGGTTTTGAGATCCAGGAGAGTGAGACTTTTACATTGTTTTTCTTCATCATTGGTGTTTTACTTATCTGAAGTCTCTTTCATTTCCATATGAAATTAGTGATTGGTTTTTCCATGTCCTTAAAAAATGTTGATGGAATCTGGATTGGGATTGCATTGAGTGTTTAGATTCTTTGGGTAGTATTGACGTTTTCACAATATTCAGTCTTCCTGTCCATGAACATGACATGTTCTTCTGTTTATATAGATCTCTTGTAGTTTCTTGTAGTAGTATTTTGTACTTTTCTTTGTATAGGTCTTTTGTGTCCCTGGTAAGATTATTCCTAAGTATTTTATCTTCTTGTTAGCTATTGTAAATGGTATTGTTTTCCTTATTTCCTTTTCAGAGGTCTCTTTGTTGATGTAGAGGAATCCAACTGATTTTTGTATGTTGACCTTGTATCCTGCCACTTTGCTGAACCTTTCTGTTAGTTCTAGTAATTTTTTTTTGCTGAGTCTCTTGGGTTTTCTATGTATAGAAGCATGTCATCTGCAAATGTAGGTAATTTAACTTCTGCCTTGCCAATTTGGATGCCTTTTATATCTTTTTCTTGCCTTAGTGCCATGGCCAGGACTTCTAATACACTGTTAAGTAGAAGTAGTGATAGAGGGCATCCTTGTTTGGTTCCCATTCGCAAGGGGAATTCTTTAAGTCTTCCTCCGTTGACAATAATGTTAGGTGTTGGTTTTGTGTATATGCCCTTTATTATGTTGAGACTTTTTCCTTCTATTACTATTTTGCTGAGCGTTTTGAACAGGAGTGGGTGTTAAATTTTATCTAATCCCTTCTCTGCATCAATTGATACGATCATATGGTTCTTTTGTTTTATTTATGTTACTGTTTTTCTGATGTTGAACTGTCCTTAAATACCTGGTATGAATCCCACTTGGTCATGATATATTACTTTTTTAATATGTTGTTGGATTCTGTAGGCTAGGATTTTGTTGAAGATTTTTGCATCTATATTCATGAGGGATGTTGATCTGTAATTTTCCTTTTTAGTGGTGTCTTTACCTGGTTTTGGTGTCAGTATTATGCTTGCTTCATAGAATGAATTTGGGAATATTCCATATTTTTCTATGTCCTGGAATAGTTTGAGTAGGATAGGTATCAGCTCTTCTCTGAATATTTGATAGAATTTTCCAGTAAAGCCATCTGCCCTAGGACTTTTTCTTGTGAGGAGTTTTTTTATGACCTGCTCAGTTTCTTCTTTTGCTGTGGGTCTATTCAAGTATTCTGTCTCAGACTGGCTTAGTTTAGATAGGTCTTGTCTTTCTAGAAATTTATCCATCTCTTCTAGGTTTTAGAATCTGTTGGAGCACAGTTCTTCATAATATCTGTTACTGCCTTTTTTATTTCAGTTGGTTCTAGTATGATGTTGCCCTTTTGATTTATTACTCATGTTATCTGCATCTTCTCTTTCTTTTCCTTTGTTAAATTTGCCAGTGGTTTGTCGATTTTGTTCATCTTTTCAAAGAACCAGCTTCTGGTCTTGTTGATTTTCTCTATTCTTTTTGTTTTCTGCTTCATTTATTTCTACTCTGATCTTTATTGTTTTCTTTCTTCTGGATACTATAGATTTCTTTTGTTGCACTTTTTCTGATTGCTGGAGTTGTTGAGTTAAAGTGCTGATTTTGATTCTTGTTTTTTGATGTGTGCATTTATTGCTATAAATTGACCTCTGAGTACTACTTTTGCTGCATCCCAGTAGTTTTTTTTTTTTTTTTTAATTGTGATTTGGGTGAAAATTTGCACAGCAAATTCACTTTCCCCCAGTAGTTTTTGACAGTATACTATTCAGTTTCCATGTATTTGATTTTTTTTTTTCCCTTGGTCTTCCCATTACTGATTTCTAATTTTATGGCATGTGATCCGAGAAGTTGCTTTGTAGTAATTCAGTGTTTTTAAATTTATTTGAGGCTTGTTTTGTGGCTTACCATATGGTCTATTCTGGAGAATGATCCATGTACACTGGAGAAGAATGGGTATTGTGCTATTGTTGGGTGGAGTGCTCTGTATACACATCTGAGGTCAAGTTGATTGATTGTGTTGTTGAGTTCTTCAGTATCTTTGTTGAGTTTTTTTCTAGTTGTTCTGTCCTTCCTTGAAAGTGGTTTAAAGTCTCCTACTACTATTGTAGCATTGTCTATTTTTCCTTTAAATTCCGTTAATATTTGCATTATGTAGTTTAGAGCTCTTTCATTGGGAGCATATTTATTAAATTATAATAATGTCTTCTTGGGCAATTGACCCTTTTAACATCATATAGTGCCATTCTTTGTCCCTTATGCTGGTTTTCATCCTGAAATCTATTTTATCAGAAATTAATATTGCCTGATCTTTTTTGGTTGCCATTAGCTTGATTTTTTTTCCATCCCTTGATTTTTAATTTATTTTTATCTTTGTGTCTAAGGTGGGTCTCTTGTAGGCAGCATATTGATGGATCTTCTTATCCAATCTACCACTCTCTTTCTCTTGACTGGTGCATTTAGTCCATTCACATTGAGTGTAATTAGTGATAGGTATGAATTTATTGCTGTCATTCTGTTGTGTTTTTCGTTATGTTGTT